TCAGCAGCAAATGCCCGAAATCATGCTTTGTCAGTTCCTGCTTCAGCCTCTGCACTGTGAACTTCCTGTAATCCTCCTCTTCCCCGTTGTTTTGCTGGCTTTGCCCGCTCTCCTCTGTCTGGGTGTTGATCGCCGCGCTGCTTCGCGTCTTCTTAGTCGACCTCGTGTTGACTCCTTCGCTCGTTTCCATGTCAGATCCGACGCCACCCGTATCATCTTCTTCTTCTGTTCTTGTCCGCTTTCTACGTGTGGAAGCCGTGGCCCTGATTTTGTTGTCGAGTGCTGATTCTTTCAACCTTGCTTGGGCGAGTTCTTGTTGAAGCTGGTCGAGGTTTGCCTGTGCAGCTTGCAGCTCATGAGAAAGACCTTCTGCTCTTCTGTTTGCAGCTATATGTGCCTCTCTTTCTTCATCCAGCAGCTTCTCCAGTGATTTCACGTTGTGAGCCCTCTGCTCGTTACTTTTCTTTAACAACGATTCTATCTCTTTCTCTCGTTCCTCGACTCTGGCCTCGAGAACAGCTACTTTTGAGACGGCTTCCATCTCAGATACACGTAGTCTGCTCAACTCGTCCTCCATATCGGTTTTCTGTCTCTCTAGATTCTCCATTTGCCTCTCGGCTCTTTCGATCTTAGCCAGTCTTTCCATTGCCAACCTCTGAATCTCGCTTTTCTCCTTCTGGGCGGTGACAGCTTCAGCTCGAGCTTTGTCTGCCAGTTCAGTCGCATGTTTAGCTTCTCTTTCAGCAGCTCTACATCTCTTTTGGTCCTCATCGAATCTTTGGAACTCGGACTGGTACTTTTGCTCCAGATGGATTTTCTCCTGCTCTAATATTAAGGCCTCTCGTTCATATGATAGCACCTTGGTGTTAGCACTTTCCAACTTATCAACCAACTCCCTAATTTCTAGCTTTAGTGATGATGTCTCTACATCAAAGCTTTCAAGTTTTGACTCGGCTGCCTGCAAATGCAAAAAGACAAATTACATAACCTAAGACACGTTCCAAAAGAAATGCTCAACTGATTCAATGATCTTAAACACAACGCACGATTACATATACTGATATACATGAGACTATGAGTATCCAGTTGTATATGGATAGATTTGTGCACCGCGTATAGTATACATGTGTAAAAAAAAGAGTTGTTAGAATAATGGATGAATGTCACTTCTATCTTCCCTAAAATTTGCAGAACTAGAAACATGCACATACATACAAAAGGGGAGCAAACGCATCCAATTGGATGAGAGTAAGATAGTTTGGAAGATCAAAATAAACAGAAATATTTAATTCAAAAAACCGCACCTTCAATTCTAGTCTTAGAGTTGTCAACGACTGCTCAGCTTGCTCGAGTTTTGTTGCCTTCTCCCTTGTTTCCTCTTCCTGCAGTTCAATAACACTGCGAATTATTCATAGTCCCAGCCCAGATAGAGAGAAATATGAAATGTCCATCCTAATAGTTAGTTAAAAAGAGGACAGAGATAGAGAAGCTACCTTCTCAACCAATGTGCAATTAAATTCCTCCCTAAGAGCATCTTCCCTCAACTGGGTTTCCTTACTTGAACGCTCTTGCACTGAGGAAGCTTTCTCGAAAGCAGATTTCGCCTCATTAACAGCAAACTCACACTTCCTTTTCCACTCCTTTGTCTCCTCTTGAGCAGACTTTGCTTGTTCCCTAGCTGCAGCAAGCCTTGCTTCAGAAGCTGTACTCCGTGACCTGAGAACTTCTATTTCTGAAGTAACCTGATCTTCAACCGCTTTCTGCTTCAAAACAATCTGGTCATATTTTCTTTTCCACTCTGTAATCTCTTGTTTGGCAGAATCTAGTGTTTTCAACAGAGTAGAGCATCGCTCCTTCAATGAACTGTTATCACCCTGCAGATTAGTTATGCGGTTTGTATACTCATCTGCCAGCTTCCTCTTATCATTGATGGCATCATCATAACGTTTCTGGTACTCCGATTTGTATTTCTCACTATCCTCCAATTGCTTGCTAAGGAGCTTCATCTTGTCTTCAACGGAACGACATTTCAGCACAAGCGAACTCTTCTCCGAAGCAATGTTATCTATAAGCCTTTTGGTGAGATCATATATCGGGCCTTCCAAGCTGTATGTTTAAACAGGATCAACAAGAGAAAGACTCGAATGAATCATCTAACAAACATAGACGTAAATGAAAGTCAGTGGGTTGAAAATGATAGAAAAACCTTTGTTGCAAGAATACAGCAAGTTTCTGCCATTTTCCTGGGCCATGGCAGGACGCATCGTACTCTGAGAATAGAACTTCTAATACCTGCAACACAGTATATTGACATGAATAACATGTACGCCTAATGATCCAATTAACCCTTTCAAATTCTAGAGTGCTTCCATGCATATTAAAAACTTTACTAGTAACTGCATGCATTGAGAGAGACGATATATGGTGGCCCGTTTGGAAAACAACAACCAGAAGTTTGATAATGTACCTTAACGACATTGTCTATACTGGCATCAGAGGCATGGCAAGCAGCTCTCAACCGCTTTTCCATGCTCTGGATGGTACTTCTACACCGCAAATCTGCCTCCATGAAAGCATTTCTTTTATAATCCTGGATCAGTAACAGATAGTCAGTATCTATCAACAAATGACAGTAAGAGAGAGCATTGCATACGAAGATTGAGAAAGTAAAATTATCTTCAATGATCATTTCGTTAATGACTTCTTAAGACGAACAACTAATTCTTGCTGAATGAATGTTTCTGAACCCATCACCTCAAATGCCTTTTTGAAAAACTTTTGGAGGAGATCATCGTACTTTTTCCTTGCTGAACCAGCCCCTACAGCACTGGCACTAAACACAGCCAAGGCTTTCTGAACTGCTTCTTCATGCGCTTCCCTCAGCATACCCTACAAGCAGCAACATTTGAAAATGATATAGCAATTTAGACTAATGAGACAAACAAGAAAATAGTACATACCTCTTCCGGAGGCTTTGATCGGTCAAAAGCAGACATATAAGCTTCTGCACCAGAATCATAAGCTCTTCGACACTCAGCTTCTTCAACACTCTACAAAGCAATGGTAAAGAGATGTCATTGTATGAAAGTATCTGCAAGACTGCAATAAACAATCTTCATAAAGCATTACTAGGTACACCACAAACAAACCTTAATACAGCTTAAAGTACCAAAAGGAAAACGCATGTCCACCCTAACTCTACAACAAGAGGGAAACTTTTTCAAACAACCACATTTAATCACTGATAACAGGATTCTATATTTATCAGAAAACTGTGTACATTTCCAAGTGAAGCAAATATCCAAGACTATCCTATTCTAGCTTCGGATCACCTAGTACCATTCGAGGAAACAAATGTTTATGCTACTATTGGCTTTAGACTGCAATTCTTCCACAAATAAACACTTCCAGAGGCAAGGGGGATCGAACCTGCCAGGAGGAGGTTATGGTGGGCACTGCACCTTTGTTCAAAGCATCCAGATACGACTGAGTAACACCAACAAGAATAGGACCTGTCATCACAGTTGGCCCTACCTGCTTGGGTCTTGTCCTCTCAAAAACAAACTTGGTCAATGCATCCAAGCCAGCTCTGAATTCAGGCCTCAATTTGTCCAACTGATTAGAGAAGCACAGGGATATTCAGTATTATATACAACAAATCAATAAATAAAGATCGACACAATCACAGAAGAAAACTATAACAGACTGGACATGCATAGAATGATACTAACCGATATTTGATCAAGTCTCTGGAGCTCACGTTCATTACTCAAAGGTCTCACAAGGGTGAAACATTCTCGATCTGGAAATAGTGCTTGGATAGAATCACGGATCTGCAAAGACCGTTTATTTCAATTTACATTGACTAATAAGCATTCCAGCGTAAGAATTAAATTAAAACGACACCCAGAACAGCTTTAAGAAAAATAATGGCAGCTGACCAATAGTAAGCTACACGTGCAATAAGGAGGATCAAACCACCAAAATGGGGTTCAATTAAGCATACTAGAGATCTACAGGCAAATACAATGATTACCTCGTTTTTAGCAGCAATATCCTTCCCACCACCTTGAACAGGCCTTAATGCAAGTTCCAAATAGTCACGGGGTGTTATCTTTTGGTTATCTTCCACTAGATCCAAATAGAAGTCCTACAAGTATAAATCTAATAGTTTTAAACTCCATAGCAACAATATGAACACAATCGATCTCCATAAACAAGGTAAAAACAATTCCAAACAGATTACCCTCAAAAGCCAGACAAAGATGGGGGAGAATTGTCCAAGCTCGGAGGCTGAACTCTTTCCTCCAGAGGCTTTTATACGGATATGCTTTGTCATTTCAGTTACAAGAGAGAGACGATCGAGTGCAGCTTCATCAATACCTCCCATCTAACATAAAGCCAAAAGAGATGCACATCTAAGCCAGGAAAAAGTATTATGTAAAGAAGAGGAGCTGCCCAAGCAGACCTAAAAAACAAAGTTCAAATTGGGAGATGTACCAACCTGATTGTATATGAACATGCTGGACAAAAGAACCGCCAATGAAAATATCTGAGTGCTATATGTACCCTGCAGCAAGAGAACGGAGGTCAATCAGCATATGCTGACAAAAAGAAAATTGGAGCTGAAAGAAACAAACACATTATGCATATTAAAGTATAAAAGCAACAATTGATCATAAATCTTTGTCATGCAAAAACTGAGGAACAAAATGTTTCATAAAAATGCCAGGAGGAAACACAAGCAACCAATTGTTTTTTCCGTAGATATTAACTTCTTACTTACCGTTTGGTCGTATGCATCTATCCCTTCGCTATCTAACAACAAAAGATTATACTCAGTTCCATCAAGAGCTGTTCTCTTCAGAGGAGCACTCCACAGCCAAAGCCCCTTCGTGCATGGCTTGTGTGTTGATGCCACCTGAAACCCACTGCTGCGTCCAAGAAGCTACGAATAGCAAAAACATTGAATATCTTACATATAACCAAAAGATGCAGGCTAAAAGTAAAGACATGAAATTAAAGTTTCGGCGGAAAGAAAATAACATGTATCATGATTAAAAGATGCAAAAGCAAAGAAAGGCATTATGAGGCTAAAACCATATTACCATAAACAAAGTCTTTGCTAATGAAAAAAATATGCTAAAGTACAATTTGCAGACAGCCCAAAACCAATGCGGCATTTCATAACTAAAAGAACTTACAAAGACAACATTAACAAAGTTATAAACGTCAAGAGAGCACTCTTTACAGCTAATAACAACCATAAAAGACCGAAAGAACTGGGAGACAGATACTTATCGCCAATGCCTATGTGTTCGCAAGGAAAACAGTAGGTCTATATCAATACTATCTAAAAATTTCCCAATATTTATCAAAGACTAAGAAATAAACTCGAAATGTAGAGCATAAAACCTAATTTGACAAAAAAAAAACTCCATATCCATAACAAACCCTGGACCTTAAAACTCGGTAAACCAAACAAGCAGAACACCGCTGCAAACTCAAAAACGAACTCCAAAACCTCATTCAAAGAATACAAAACCAAACCTGATTCAAGATGAAGCTCTTGCCCTGTCGAGCACGGCCACACACAGAAACAACTCCAATCGGCTCCTTCACGAGTTGCAGCGCAGCAACGGCCTCGGGATCCATTCGAAACTTCCCCTTCTCATCACAGTAAACAAGTCGAATCGGCCTCGCGGGCCCCGTCACCGGAGAGGACGACGCCGCCGCCGCAGAAGGCGGCGAAGGATAAGATTCGGACGACGGAGAAGCCGAATCAGAGGGAGAATCCTTCCCTCCTCGTCCAAAAATTCTCATCATCTCGGAAAACTTCTCGGGTTCCGCCTCTCCGATTCGTTTTTCTTTTTCTTCCGCCCAAACCTGCGTTTGCACTTCAAATTTACTAAGGGGGATAGTGACCGTTCGAAGCGGAGAGAGAAGAAAAGGGAAGACAGCCAGGGTGACGCATGAAATGACCGTTTTATACACTTGATAGGGGCAACTTCGTCCTTTTAATCTTCTTCGGGGAAGTTGGGCTTTGTGTATTGGGCTTAAGGCTATAAAGGCCTAAATTACGACCCATTTTTCCAAATTCCGATAATTCGTGCTTAAAATGGACGTAAATGTAATAGAAGCAGCATAACGATATTAGTACATCATATACTATAAATGTGAACCTTAACTTCCATCCAATATATTCGGACGGAACGCCGACAATATGTTCTGGATAATTGTAAATTGTTACACACTTATACAAATCAAATAGACACGTGCGTATATACTATACATAGGTAAACAAGGTTTTATAATTATTTGTCATATAATTTTTGAACGGTGTTAAAGATACGATTCGGAGTGTCTAATTGTTTCCAGATTTTTTAGATCAACCAGAATCTCAATCCGTATATTCCATAATCAATTGTAACTTTATGGTGAATAAAGATTCTATACCAACCGGTTTAGCGATGTTACCATTCGGAGCCTAAGATTCTATTTTGCTCTCTTATTTGGCTGTATACATATATATATATATATATATATATATTTTTATATATCTGGGTATATGAGTAGACCAAGAGTCAACTCTTCACATAACAAGAGATCACACATACATATAATTTGCGGAGAAGAACCTCCACAACCCAATCCGAGAGAGAGAGAGAGAGAGAGAGAGAGAGAGAGAGAGAGAGAGAGAGAGAGAGAAGAAAAGAAGAAACAAAAAGGCATGACAGTTGAAGAAGTGGACGATTACACAAGAGATGGAACGGTGGATCTTAAAGGAAATCGTGTCCGAAGATCCCGAAGAGGCCGTTGGAAAGCTTGCTCCTTTATTGTCGGTATGTGTTATATCATCATCAATCCATGAAACGTTGATTACAGTGATTAAGCATCTAATCACAATGCTTATACACATATATATATATGATCTGTCAGCTACCGTAAATCCATTAGTACATATGTTCGTGAGTATGCCACTGGATTTATGTGTTATTTTGGCTAGAAGAATTCCAAACACTCGTATATATATATAGTAATCTTAATGCCTTATCCATATCCTATCAATATACATATATGATATATATGTTCAAATATCCAAAAGATTTATTTCCTTTTGTTTTTTTTTCGGAAAATCCCACCAAAAATGAAAATTTATACGTCAAAAGACATAGGATAATTAATCTTGGTGTTCATGGATGATATATAATTCAGTGGGAAACTGTAAAACAGTGTACGAGGTATTTGAGAGGATGGCATATTATGGGATATCGAGCAATCTGGTGATATTCATGACGAGCAAGTTGCACCAAGGCACCGTCGAGTCGGCGAACAACGTGACCAACTGGGTCGGCACGAGTTGGCTCACTCCTATCCTCGGCGCCTACGTGGCCGACGCCCACCTCGGCCGCTACCTCACCTTCCTCATCTCTTCCGCTATCTATTTCTCGGTACACTTATTTATATTTAACATTCTCTTTATATATATAATATAATATATAAGGTTATAATATAAACTTTAAAAAAAGGAGACCATGATATAGTAGAACAATAATGTGCATGTGATTTTCAAAGGAGCTGTAGCGACCGCACTTACTTTCTTCTCTCTTTTGTTTTTTCTATCTTTATGATAATGCCGTGGGAAAATGAAAGATGAGAGGAAGTATATATTATAGATGTCAACGTTGACATGATAATGATAAGAACCATTCGTATAAAGTCCAACCACCAAAGAAGGAACAAAAAGGACAAACTATGCATTTATTTATTTATTTTTGTCATTTACTCTGCAGATATAGTTTCTTTTTATAATCAAAATGTCCTAAAACTATATATATACACACACACACGATCCAAACGACGTGCATCCATTAAAATGATCTGATAGGGGGGGAGAATGAAAACATTTTTAACCATTTCGGTTTTCGAATATTTTTAAATAGAAAAAATAATTTATATTTACAAATACTATCAAAGGTTGAAAACCCAAATAAAATCCACGTAGAAAGAAATGTATTAGACTAAAATTCTGATGTGTTTTGTAAAAGAAATATACGAAGACACTGGTTCAAGTTCGTTTTTTATGGGGTTTTAATTTAACACATTGGTAGATGGGCTTGAAACGATCTGATGACGATGATGGTGATGATAGGGGATGGTGGCACTGACATTATCGTGTCACTTCCGAGCCTGAAACCACCGGCATGCACGGCCGCCAACGTTCAAGAATGCGAGAAGGCATCCACGTTGCAAACGGCAGTGTTCTTCGGAGCACTGTACACGTTGGCCGTCGGGACAGGCGGCACCAAACCGAACATATCGACGATAGGAGCCGACCAGTTCGACGACTTCGATCCCATGGAGAAGACAATGAAATCTTCCTTCTTCAATTGGTGGATGTTCAGCATCTTCTTCGGCACTCTCTTTGCCAACACAATTCTCGTCTACGTCCAGGTACTTATCTATCTTCTAGATCTCAGTGTTGGTTATCCGAAATTCAGATTTTTTTTTCCCTAAATCTATATGATAGGTCTTCGTTAACAATTGTTTTGTGGAATAACTCGAATTAATTGGACGATGATTGTGGAATGATGGGACAGGACAACGTGGGATGGGCATTGGGATACGGGCTTCCGACAATGGGACTGGGGATATCAATCACGATATTCGTGATGGGTACTCCTTTTTACCGGCACAAGGTACCGACAGGAAGCAGCCCCTTCGCCACCATGGCTCGAGTCATCGTCTCCGCCATTCGAAACGCCCATCTTCCCTTACCCTCCGACTCCAACCACTATCTTTCTACTCCCACTCTCAGGTGCTTTTTTTTGCTTCACATTCTCATGTACAGATTTCTCTCTTGATAATCTCCTCTCTCTCATGATCAATCAAAATCTGTGATGTAGATTCTTGGACAAAGCTTCGGTGAAAACAGAAAAAACGCATCAATGGAGTCTCTGCACAGTGACAGAAGTGGAAGAGACCAAACAGATGCTGAGGATGTTACCCGTTCTGTTCGTGACTTTTGTCCCGAGCACAATGCTCGCCCAAGTCAACACCCTGTTCGTGAAACAGGGCCCCACCCTCGACCGAAGTCTCACCCGCAGCTTCAGCGTCCCTCCCGCCAGCCTCTCGGCCTTCGTCACCTTCTCCATGCTCCTTTTCATCGTTCTATACGACCGTTTCTTCGTCAAGCTCATGCGAAAACTCACCAGAAACCCCCGTGGCATCACTCTCCTCCAACGCATGGCCATCGGCTTGATCCTTCACATCATCATCATGATCGTTGCCTCTGTGACCGAGAGGTACAGGCTCAAGGTCGCTGCGGAAAACGGGTTCGTTGATCAGGCCAAGGCCAAGCTGCCATTGACGATCTTCGTGTTGCTCCCTCAGTTCGTATTGATGGGTATTGCCGACGCCTTTCTCGAGGTCGCGAAGCTCGAGTTCTTCTACGACCAAGCCCCCGAGAGCATGAAGAGTCTCGGGACTTCGTACTCGACCACTACTTTGGCCGTCGGCAACTTCCTCAGCAGTTTCTTGCTCTCCACTGTCTCCAAGATTACAAAGAAACGTGGACGTGACTGGATTCTGAACAATCTGAACGCGTCTCGGCTCGATTATTACTACACGTTCTTCGTGGTCCTGAATCTGGCGAACTTCATCCTGTTCTTGGTCGTGGTTCGGTTTTATAGATACAGAGCCGAGGTTTCGGATTCCATTGATGCCAAACAGGAAGAGCCTATGATGATGAGTGTCGGAGGAAATGATCAGGAACCTGGAAACAAGGCATAGTAATACTGTGACTTGGATCATTATAAATATAAATGTCTTTTTTACGTATTTTGAGTATTTTGGACAGAAACATAAGTTAAAAGGAAAGGATTAGAGCCGAAACATGATTTAAGATTAAAACACAGATTCTACTAATCAGCTAAAATCAAAATTTCAATAGCTGTACTTCCTCTTCCTCTGCATCTTCTTCTTCTTCTTCTTGCTCGGCTTCGTCTTCGATGGCGTTGTACTAACCAGCTGAAATACTAATATCAATACTTCTACAATTCCGATCATGCCAATCTCCGAGAAATTTGGAGAGACGAGTCCATAATCCAATGGACTTACATCCGACATTCTACACTGGTTCCATGGTTGCAGAAGGGACAGCTGAATACTGTTTCAAGCTTGACCATCCGTTTCTTAGGAGCAGGCTTTGCCCTCGATTTCCCCTCTCCCATGGTTTCAGCTCTTTTTCGCTTATCAATCGGAAAAAAGAAACATCCAATGATCCACAAATCAACATCATTGGTGCTTCGTATGGAACAAGTACCAGATCATTCAACGCCCAATTGAGAAATTCAGAAGGCGATATTCGATAAGACACCGCAGGCCGTCATACTACAGAGCAAAGTACACGACGATGTGTTTTG